AACTTTTGAAAAAATTTAAATGTTTAGTGACTAAATGAGCACAATTTTAAAAGTTAGGTGACTAAATTTGACCAAGCCAAAAGTTAAGTGACTAAATGAGCACAAAGCCAAAAGTTTGATGACATTTCAAAACTTAAAAAGAGTTAAGTGACCAAATGAGCATAAAACCAAAAGTTAAGTGACCAAAAATGACTTAAACCCATATTTTAAAGTATTTATTTTGTTGAGTTGGTACACATATGATACACAAAAACTTGGGTGGTGGGATATATTTGACAAACGTGAATAGTAACTCAAAACTGAAAATTATAATTTATTTGTATAAAATGTTCTACAAAAATAGTTATAATATTTTAAAAGATGTAAACTTAAGTTAAAATGTATCTTGAGAGTTGAGATAGAAGTGCACAACTAGATTGGTCTTGAAAAAATAACGAAACCGGACCGAAAAAAGATTAGATTGTTCTGAAACCGACCCGAGACCGATCCAAAAAATGAGCGGACCATTTCAAGACCAACTTGAAGACCAGTACCACAATCCATTTTATAGATAACCTCGATTTTTTAAATTATAAGGTTCTTAACATAACAAAATAAAATATTTATTATTATTAGATATATAACAAATATATATATATATATATATATATATATATATATATATATATATATATATATATATATATATAACCTAACATAAAGAAAACGATAAAGATAAACAACCTTCTCCTAGCTACAACCTATCTATGCTAGTAGACCTCTGTATGAATCCGAAACCAAAAAAAGTGCAATTGAAACTGGAAAAAATGAAATTGGATCGGGAAAAAAAATTGAAACGGACAAAAAACCACGAATCCAAACCGAACAAAAGACTGGTCCAAATGATGACATATCTTGGAAAAGACCGAACTGACCCAAGACTGGTTCGGGACCCTTTTTGGAGTTTTTATGTAGATAATTGTTTTGTGAAAAAATAATTACTAAAGTAGTGTAGTTTTTAGATTATTTACCAAAAGATGGTAAATATATCAACCCACCTTCCTTACCACACTATTTCGAAGGGCATGGAAGTTTCATCGCCTACCAAGTGTTCCGCCTTTGAAATCTAAAGCATCGCATGAACCTTGGTGGCATAATCTTTGGCCTCGTCTAAAGCATAACCGGAATCTTAGGCCCCGTTTGATAGTTTCTGTCCGGGAAAGTGCTGTCTTGGAAAGTACTGTATGAGAAAGTTTTCTGACTGGGAAAGAAACCATATTGTTTGATTGTACATCTGATTGACTGTACTGAATGATGAAAATATTGTCCTGCTGTTCTATACTGTGATGGATGAAGTTGCTGAATAATTATAAAAACATACATATTGTCATAGAAAATCAAAATTACATAATAATCATTTAAATTCCAAATAGAATGTCGATTAAGATGTTTTTAGTTTTTTTTTTCAAGTTTATGTTACGTCGTTATTCTTTCTAGCAATTTAAAAAATTTGTTATAACTCAACATGTGATTCTTGACTCGGTTTATGTCCGATAGTGGTGGGATAGATGAATTTTTCAAAATATATTAGGATGATGGTAGTGTTGTCCAAAAAAAATAAGAACTATTCCAATAAAAATGAATTAACAAAATTAACTAAAAGAAATTAATAATCCAATAAAGTAATATTTATTAATATATAAATATTATATATTTATAAATATTAATATATAATAATCCAATAAAAAGAATTAATCCATTAAAAAGAAATAAAAAAAGAATTATTTAAAAGAAATTAATAATCCAATAAAATAATATTAATTAATACATAAATATTATATATTAAAAATAATATTTATTAATATATAATAATTCAATAAAAAATAAATTAAAAAATTATTTAAAAGAAATTAATAATGCAAGAAAGAAAGAGACAGAGTTTAGGGCACAATTGTCTTTCTAGCCTATTCAGCCATAAAGATATGGTTTTGAAACTTTCTGGGAAAGACATATCTTATCGGAAAAGACCAATCTTTCCGGTCCATTCAGCCAGAAAGATCTGTTCGGACCTGGAAAGATGTCTATCGAAGGGGCCCTTAGGTATCTTGAATAATCCATGTCTTTTACATTTCTAACATTGTTATATTGGTTAATATACTATATCTTGAATAATCCATGTCTTTTACATTTCTAACATTGTTATATTGGTTAATATACTAGTATTTGTAAGAGGACATGTTAAATTGTTAATCTGGCATAATAAGAGTTGTATACGCTGAAAATGTTTTCTTTGTACTAAATGGTGATGTACTGATGCGGTTTCTTCGCAAGATCTACAGTGGCGATGTGGTTAAGGGGGTCTTGTTAAAAACTATTTTGATTAATTTGTTTTTAATTAAAAAAATACAACTATTTGGAAAATAAATTAAAAAGTATAAGAAGTTGGTAAATATTTTTTAAAACCGCGATCATCTTGTTAAAAACTCACCCTTCTTGTGCACCATTGTCTTAAGAGTGTCAACTCTCAACAAGTCACTACCAATTAATGTGACCAAATCATGAAACACATCCGGCTGACGGCTGTATCCAAAGTCCAAAGTCCAAACTCCAAACCCATTGATTTGTCCACACCCAATTTTCTATTGCCATTTGTTTTCTTTTTCTTAGTTTACATCGAGATTTAGTCTTTTACTTAATTCTCCCCGTCTCTTTGTACATGTTGCCACCTTATTTTTGTCTTATAAACCAACCTCACCACTACCGATCACCACCGCTCCACCCGCCATGGAAGACTACCCAATGCTCACCAAGCTAGAATCAGCCTGCTCTGATCTCAAAACCCTCCTCAAATCATCTGCAAATTTACAAACAAACTTGGAAAAACTCGATGACAACTTTGACACTCTACAAGAAACTCTAACTGTCGCTTCAAGAAGGCTAGCCCCTCTTCAATCGCTCTCCATCGCCTCAAAAGCACTCGAAACAAGAATCAACCGTGCAGTTTCACCTGCTCTCGTACTCATCGATGGCTTCCGTATATCCGAATCTCTACAAAGAAAACTCGACGACATTTCAACCAAACTTCCCGCACAAAAGTCCCAGAACAAGCGGCTCCGGTTACTCATCAAGTATGTCGATTGTGTAGATAAGTTAAACATCGCGATTAACTTGCTCAGCCAAGAAGGTGGTCCATCAATTCAGAGGCTCCAAGAGGTGGTGGAGTTTTTGAGTCGGACTAAAGCCACCGACCAGTTCAGAACGCATCGATTGAGAGAAACGTTGGTAGCTCTCAACGCTTTATACGAAACAGAAGTCGATTCCATGAAATTTGATGGGTTGCTTGACGAAGCTTTATTGAATTTACAAGACGAATTCGAGGGGATTCTACTGCAATTAAGGCATCATAACATCGGTGGCGGTGACGACAGTGGAGAAGCGGAAGCGGCGACGGCGGCAACGGAGTTGGGGACTGAGATGGAGGTTGAAGTTCTCCGACGGATTTCTGAAACACTTACTGCTAACGATTGCTTGGATATATGCATCGATATTTTTGTGAAAGTTAGGTATAAGCGAGCAGCAAAGGCGTTAATGAGACTAAACCCTGATTACCTCCGAACATACAAACCGGAAGAAATCGACGAAATGGAATGGGAAAGCCTAGAAACTTCCATAACTCTATGGATCCAGCACTTCGAGCTAGCAATCAGAACCGTTTTCATAACAGAAAAAACCTTATGCCACCAAGTCCTCGGGAACATCATGGAAGGCGCCATCTGGCAAGAATGCTTCGTAAAAATCGCTGACAAAATCATGGCGGTGTTCTTCCGGTTCGGTGAAGGCGTTGCCAGAAGCAACAAAGAGCCACAAAAGCTCTTCAAACTCCTCGACATGTTTGATTCATTAGAAAAATTAAAATCAGAATTTTCAAACGTTTTCGAAGGTGAAGCTGGTGTTGATATATGTTCCCGGTTTCGGGAACTCGAGAAGCTTCTAGTACATTCTTCGAGTAAAGTTTATTGGGAATTTGGTCTTCAAATTGAAGATAACCAAGACGGGTTACCCCCACCACAAGACGGGTCAGTCCCGAAGTTAGTCCGGTATGCTATCAACTACCTTAAGTACTTAACCACGGTTAACTACAGTCAACCCATGGCCCGCGTCCTCCGCACCGAACAGATATGGAAGAACGGAACCGGAATCGGAATGACCGGAACCGGAATCACGGATTCCGATGAGGATTTGTTAAAGGATGCGATTTCGAACGTGATGGAAGCGTTACATAGGAATATCGAAACGAAAAGGTCGGGGTATAAAGATAAAGTTATGTACCATGTGTTCACTATGAATACTTATTGGTATATTTACATGAGGACTCGGAATACGGAACTCGGGAAGCTTTTGGGGGAGAATTACATGAGGAAGAATTACAAAGTGGTGGCGGAAGAAGCGGCTTACTTGTACGAGAAGCAAGCGTGGGGTGGGTTAGTGAGGTTACTTGACAAAGAAGATATTGGAGATGAAGGAATTGGGAATGAGAATATTATAAAGGGTAAACTCGAAGCGTTTTTGAAGGGGTTTGAAGAGATCGCTCAAAGGCATACGAGTAGGTATAGCATTCCGGAAGCTGATTTGCGGGCGCAGATAAAAGAGGCTACTGTTAAGCTTATTGTCCCGGTGTATTCGGATTTTTTGGAGGTGTTTTCGGGGGTTATAAATGTAAAATTATATTCGTCTCCGGAGTCAGTTGAAAGTTTGTTGGGGCAGATTTTTTCGGGCAACGGGCGGAGTTCGTCGATGGGTGCGAGGCGGCGTGAGATTAATCGGATGGAAGGGAGGAACTCGGTATCGAGTGAGATTGACTCGATACCGGGACGGAGGTCTGTCGATCGGTTCCAGAGGAACCGATCGAATGCTAATGCTGGTGATGATTAAAGATTCGAAAAGTACAAAAAACTTGTTATAAAATTTGTTTTTAGTAGTAAAATCATTATATGTTGTATTGGAAACAATGAAATTAGTTACTATGTTGATGATTTCCAAGCCTTTTGCATCTTTTTGCCAAGGTATTTAATTCCGTGAACGGCTCCGACAGTAATGAAACCAGCTACTGCTTGTCGTGCACTTGAAATCATTACTTTGCGCCTCAAAACTTTTTGCATGCGGGATGCAGCTTCTCCACGTGATCCGATAGTGATTTTATTGCTATTTTGATCTGCAAGAACAATACATGACAGAACAGGTTATACTGCGTTTGGACTTGGACCGGTACTGATTTGAAAATAACCCTAATTACCTGTATTTCTCTCGGCTAGCCCCATTCCCATTTGGATTCTGACAAATTCAGGAAGGGAAGAAACAACTGAGGATGTTGCAGATAAGCTACAATCCTGGCATTGATAATATAAAGTTATGAAGACTTTTTTTCATGCACCAATTAGCTTTTATTGGAAATTTAGAGTTAATTATAAAGATTTTTAGAATAGGACAAACCTGGGAAATGGTCATTTGATGATCACCGCATGAGGAGAGTCTCAAGAGTTGCTTAGTTGCATACTCTTCAACCAATGGATTATACATGCTTCTGAACAAATCAAATTGGCCTTCTACTATCTTTTTAACCTGATGCACAGACATAAAATAATAAAGCAGCTTTAGAAAAGATTTAAGTGCCAAAAAGAATAATAAATAATAGGATTCCAAACACAAAACATGTTCTCATCTATCATGTCGTACCTTATTTTTATCCTCTGCAAAAAGCATGCGCAAGTCACCCATATAAGAGAGGCTACATATTTTTGCATAAAGTTCCCTCTGTACAAGGATAAATACAAGGACATGTCAAAGAAATATTCACCAATTTAATAATAAGAATTAAGAAAAAATGCAAACCTCAGTAAATTTTGATGGCAAAAGCAGAAGTGCTGCAGAGGAGGCAGCCCTCAAATTAACTAAGTTGACATTTTCGATTTCCTTATTGTCCACAACAACATGCACCTTAAAGCGCGTAAAGTAAAATAAAAAAAAAATCCATAGAAATGTTAGTAAGAATCTTGATATCATTGTAGAATAACACGTCAATCTATTAAAGGTGTGAAATGGAAATAACATGTCATACAGGTTTTTGCAAGCGACCACTAAGGTAAAATCTCTCCCAATTCAGCATATCTTGAACTAAATCATCCGTTTGAACAACCCCATACTTATACATCTGCCATATGTTTTTTTTTAACTGGGTTAATTTGCTAATAATAAAGATTAAATACAAGAAAAAATTGATCCATTACAGAAAGCTACCTTGTCATTCCATGAAACAAATGGGTTAAAATGTACACCAACACCAATATGATCCGCTACATTAGTGATCTAAAAACCAAACCAAATCCATGTTTGAAGTAAATAAAGTCGGCATCATAGGGGTGTGTGTATGTGTGTGTGTGTGAGAGAGACAGAGAGAGAGAGAGAGGGAGAGAAAGAACCAGTTTTGCTCCACCAAGAGACACCATCCATGAGGCATAGTGATCCCGGTTCATTTGCAGATTCTTGAAGATAAAAAGAATACCAATCGTTAAATAAAGACCCCAAATTTAAGAATATTTCAGTAGAAACAGATGGAGGACAACAAATACCTCAGAATGCCATTGTTGAGGATTTGATACACCAAGAATATAATCTTCCATGGATGACTTTAATGCAAAAAAAAGGAAACATAAATACAGACCCCAAATTTGAAGAGCATTTCAGTAAAAATTCAAAGTTCAACTATTATAAACATGGAGAGAACTAACCTTGTCATTGTTATTAGGATGAAGACTTGAACCATATACACAACAAAAGTCTACTGGAGGTAGAATTTTCAGCAAGCTCCCGAGACTAGTTTCCATGGCTGTTTACCAGTTAAAAAGCTAAATTAATACATTAATGATAGGCTTCAAGAAAGCATGCAGGATGATAAACCATGCCCTTAATGAGTGTTCAAGTGTAAATGACATAATGAATATATGAAACTCAGAAAGTGAAGACTAAGACTAACAGCTGATATTAACTCAATCAACACGTACATATTTGACCATTACAAACAAAAAGGCTAAACTAGAACAGCCACAAACAACATTTTTATACCTTCCTCGAGTAAAGAATGGACAAAATCATTATTAAATTAACGTATCAGTTTTGATTAAACTGGTCAATGAGGTTATATTAATGACATAACATTCTTCAAAAAATGAAAGAGTTTAAGCAGATTTTCTTAATTATGGTAACTTTCTAGTTGAGTGATAAAGAGGATTATGTTGGCAAGTCAACCTACTACGGAATTAGGGTTTAATAAATCCTGGTTGTTTCCTTTAGTCTCTGTTTTAGTAACTATAATAAACTATACGATGGATCGAGTAAATACAAGTTCAAGCTGACAGAGGCATTTCATCGAACAGTTGGGGTGCAATGATAATATAGCTGGCTTTCAAGCAAACAAAGGAAAGAGGTCTTTGTAAACTAAGAAATCATGTGAAACGGAACAATGATGACAGAGATAATGAATGTGGGGGTCAAATTGCCTTCGGAAAATCAAGAACAAGGAAAGACGACGACGACGAAGAATAAGAACCTGTATCACTTGGACTTCAAATCAGGTGGGAATTTCTGGTTTTGAACTTTTGATGGGGTAAATTTTATCTCCGGTCCCTGAACTATAACTGTGTACAACATTTAACCCATATTTAAAATACTACTAAAAGTAACTGTGTACCACCTTACTTTTACTTTGACAAATTTGGTGCCTCTCGGTCTCTCTTTAGAAATTATAGAGGAAATATTACAAATTGACAAGTTTTCTCTATCCCATATTGGTGGGGGAAGAAACATTTAGTGGGTTTATAATGTTTTTTCTTGATAGGCTTTCAAAGGCGTTTAGTGGATCAAGGGATAAGCCAAGCCCACACACATGCCTAGGCTAGAACTAGCCGATGTTGTAAGCATGCAAAATGGTGTGATTTTAGGGTCAAGTCGGTTTGATCGATCCGGTCAAACGGATGACCGACGTTGACTTCGTGGATAAAGTGACAAAATCTTTTGGAAGGCCCAGAAAACGGTTTGCCTAGGTTTTCTAGGGTCCGACCTATGATGGCCCTATATTACCTTCTACGGTTTTGATACCTATAAATACAGCTCCCTAGGAGCTTTCTGAGTATTCACTTTGTATTTGACACATGGAATTTGAAGCTCTCTCCCTCTCTTGGCGATTTCTTTTAGCTTTCTGAGTATCACTTTGTGTATCGTTTTCCATTGTTGTTGGAAAACCGATAAGTCTGCATTAAATCTTGGAGTTTTACTCTGTTGCTTACAGCCAATAGAGGCGAAGTAAAAACCTTTAAGGATAAGAGTCTCATAGTGCAGTTCTTTAAGATCAAGATCAGCTGACAACATGTTGGTTTTACTTTACTGTCTCATGTTTACTTTTGTCCAATAACAGGACGCTCTGCTTCTACTCCTTTCTTATAATCAGATCTAATCGAGAAGGATTGATCTGGTTTCTGGATGAAACTTGGTAATCATAATAATAATAATAATTGGATTCATTATTCACAACTAATCTTTTTTTTTTAAATGACAAATATATTAAACTAATCCTAAATTATTCCACATATATCCACAATAGGACTTGAACCCTCGACCTCAAGGAGGGAGGGCAACACCGGATACCGCTGGGCTAGAAACCCTTTGGTTTCCTTGCGTGTCTATTGATTCTAATATACAACAGTCTCTACACATTTATCCCGTCCACCGCCATTCTTCATCATCACCGATTCAGATGCTTCTTTAGCCTTTTGATAAGCTTGATCAAAACCGCTACTTCTTTTCTCCACCATTTCCCACCGCCTTCATCTCCCATCGACCTTGAATACATTAGCTCCGTTGAAAAGTCTCAATGTATATTACTTTCTCTCATAAACCTTATCTTCGTTTTAGTCGCCTCCCGCTACCAACATCTCTCTGTCGATAACTACCACTCACCGTTCCCCCTTTCACTCAGAAATGTCTGCCTCTAGTTCTCCTCTTACCTCCGCCATTGTCATCTATGGACATTGAATCCTCAAATTGACATCTTCGACGAAGTCCTCGGTTTCTAGGGCAAAGTAATTTCGTCGGTGCGCCCATTTTCTTTCAATTGAAATCAAGATCACTTTGCGTCTTCTCCATCTGAAACGTTGTCCATATACTTTTGCATTTCTGAATCTTCCAAAAGTCAAGTGCATACAAACAACAACGAGATGTACACCACCTCTGAATGCTTTCATCTTCCATCACCCGTCTTTCTCTAATGCTCCTTCTTTTGTTGAACGCACCACAAACAACAACAACCATAAAGGAAAACAAAGTAAGAACGCAAAAGGCGAGTTCAGTCTTCTGTAAATCACCTCTGGAACTTCCAAAGTAAGTTTTTTTATTCATATATCGATTTATTTTATATCCATATTGATTTCTGACCTCCAATCTGTGGATTGCAATTTATCTTACTCTTTAAATTTAATGTTCATGATTTTGCTGTCAATGGCAGGTTGAGGATTCGATAGGGGGCTGAATGAGTTTTTAAGTTTCTCTTTTTGGAGCAACATGATATACTTCCAATTTAATCTTTTCCCTACAAAAAACAGGTTTGCTTACATGGATTTTTGTTCACCTTTTTAGGTGGTTGAAGGGATGAGAAAGCAAGAACAGTCTCCTTGTTGAATTCGCTGCAGAGAAGGCTCATCAGGAATCCATTTAGCTTGATTGCATCCTTGAAGTTGCGTATTCTCTCTCTTGCAAATAAGCCAAAGAACCTGTACACAATCATGGATTGTACTTATGTGTACGTGTAATATTATATGTTTGCAACCATTCAACTAGCTTGTAACATCCGGACTTTCAGATGCATTAATGTGTGTTTATCTTTGAGATGTATGGAGTGACTCGACGAGTTGTGAGTCCGACTCGCCGAGTAGGGTCGGGTTGGCTACGTGGATTTAATGAGTGGACTCGACGAGTCAGAGAGATGACTCGCTGAGTAGGTGTTGGGCAGAGAAACCCTAATTTCCGGGGGTTGGGGCCTATTTAAAGGCACTTATAGCCTCATTTGCGGCTACACTTCCCTGAGAACAAACCCTAGACGACCTTTGAGATTTTAGAAAGAGTGCTTGGCTAATTGTGAGTGTTTGGTGCATTTTGTGAAGAGGAGAGAAGAATTCCAAGCCAAGGGTCAAGAAGGTGTTGCTAGATCTGAGATTGTGCCTCTTCAGAGCTTCTGGGAAAGGTATAAAGCTTGCACCTTTCTCATTATTTTGTATAGATATCATGATTTTATGAATCTAGGGTTTTTCCACCCAAATATGAGGACCTTGAGTGTTTTATGTTCATTGAGAGGGATTGAACTTCAGATCTGGACTACCATGTGAGGTCCCTAGAGTTCAAAAGTCCATGCTTTATCCAACCATAATAGTGATCCTAAGTGAAAAACCCTTTTTGAGGTGTGTTTTGGCATTTTAAGCTCAAAATGCCATGTATGAACGTAAAGCCTGTGACTTTACGTGATTGATGAGCCTTAGTAGTACAGATCTAGAATTTGGGAAGGTTTCTTGCCTTGAAAACGACTGGATGAGATATGAGGCCGAATGGACTCACCAAGTCAAGGAGCCGAGTCGACGAGTCGGTGAGGGTTTGTCCCGATGGGTTGATTGTGCGATAACTCAGCGAGTTGGGGGTCAACTCGACGAGTTGAGCTGGAATTTCTTGAGACTTCTGAGGAAACAAGGGGACTCGACGAGTCGCAAGGGTGCACTCGATGAGTCGGGTCAAACATGGACTGTTGACTCGAGTTTGACTTCTGTTGACTTTAGGGTTTGTTGAGTCTTTTACCCAAATCGAGAGTTAGAGAGAGAAGAATAACATGTGGTTACTTAGAGTCAAGAATCGAGTATTAATTAGAGATATTTACCCTATGTGTTAGGCGGTGACTAGTTCGAGATTCGAGTTCGAGGATATTTGCTTACTTGCTCGCAAGGTGAGTCTTCTCACTATACTTGCCAAGAGTGGTATCTTTACGTGATTGAGCTGTTTTATGTGTTTATCTGTGTATTGTGATATCCTGCATTATTTCTTTGTGATTTATGTTGTGGTTTACTCAGAGTTTACAGAGTTAGGACCGGAAGGTCCACCAGAGTTGTGGGACTGGAGGGTCCCACTGAGACACATTGACCGGAGGGTCATACAAAGTTATAGCCTCGAGTGGCTAAAGAGTTGTATGTGGTATTTTGGGGAACTCACTAAGCTTCGTGCTTACCGTGTTATGTGTTATGTGTTTCAGGTTTCTCAGGATCGCGGGAAGGCACCGGCTTGATTGTACACATCAGTGAAGGAGTTATGTTTTGAGGATCCTGGATTTGAATCAAACAATTATGGAGTTGCGATTTGTAAATTAAATAAATGAGATTTTCGTAAAATGTGTTACGAGAATTATGCGATTTTAAATTAAAATTTTAATTGACAATTTACGGTGTTACAAGCTTGATTTTGAAACTAAATTTTTTATGTTTATTTCTTCCAGAGGTTTGGCATTCTGCTTGCATGATGTACCTGAGATTATACAAACTATTTTGACTTTTTATGAAATATTAACATGAAATCTTCATTTTATAAGTTCTTTTTTGTACTTTTGACTTTTTATAAAAACTATTGACATGAAATCTTCATTTTATAAGTTGTTATTTAAACATAAAAAAGTCAAAGTGTGGATATTAATTATTATTTTTTGCGTTTATCGTAGGTTTACATACAAAACTTTACAGCAAAAAATAGTAAACATGATGAAGGAAGAATTCATCTTTGCTTCACAGGGAGGACCAATTATTCTGTCACAGGTTTTTAGTTTTTTTTATTACTATGAGAAATAGGCATTTTTACAAATCATTGTTGACTTATTACTAACAAAAAATCTTATGTATGAAAGATAGAGAACGCGTACCAAAATGTTGAAGGTTCATTTCATTATTATGGACGAAAATATTTCAACTGGACTGCTACAATGGCGGTGGGTCAAAACACTAATGAACCATGGGTGGCCCTGATCATGTCATTTGTGCTTAACTTCTAATTGTTAAATGTAAGCAATATCAATGCACTATATTTAATTTTTTTAATTTTTAAAAATGGCTTAATCAACATATTGTTTCTTAAAAGAATCAAAATTTATATTTGATTGCAAGTCAAGTGGCTGTTCATTGGATTTCGTAGGTTTCTTTAACCCCTTTTCCAAGATTTTTTCTTGCTTTAGGATTCATTTGCTATTGCTTAGGTTTATTTTTACCTGAAAACAATTTTTTTTTCTCAAATTAAAATTTTTGTATCCTTCAGTCTTGATATATTTTGACTTTTGTTGACTCAAGTTCATGCCCAAATCAAGTTTGGAATCAAGTTGTGGATTTCAAAGGTTTGTTTCACCTTTTTTTCTTGGTTTGGGTTTGACTTGTTCTTGCTAATATTTATTTATATCTGAAAAGATTTTTTTTTCAAGCAGAAAAAAGGGATTGACTACATTTAGCATCATAAATTGATATTTTCATTAAGGTACAATTTTACGAAACAACTCCTAAAATCTTAACTTTCATCTAATGAAATTTGTGTTTATTATGGCATGATCAAGAGCAAGTTATTTGATATCATTTAATGGAAAATATTCATTTATTCTGTGCCTCTTGAATATCATCATTTATTTAAAATCT